TAATCTGGATTGTGATGGGGTACAGCCACAAATACAGATATGTCCGTAGATGGTAAGGAGGTAGTTCCTTGGAGATAATGTTCTTTCTCGATCAAGAGAGGATTCAGAAGCATTTCCGAGGTGGGCGAGGTGACTTTGTATTCTATTATTGTTGGGCGTTCACCTGTTTGAGCCTCAATTCATGCCTAACAAAAAAGAGACGCTCGTCAACAAATTGTATGGCAAGGGCCGACAGACATTATCCTGATCAGTCTCCTGACCCGCGACATATGCTAGTCTTCCTTGCCCAAGCTATAACCAAGCATGAGTTGCACTGAAGTGCTGTCCATCGCGTCTCTTTGTAGCATTTTAAGCCCGTATCCTCAGTGATAGTCTGATCGCCGCCAATGTAGATACTTGGCCTGTATATCAGGCATCGTTCAAAGCTTTCAACCAAGACTAGAGCTGTATTCCCCCAAGGCGGCAACTGGTAGCCGCCGTCCAGTTTCGGTTGATCAATCGTCGTGATTAGCCGGATTGATATCGCCTTGATCGAGGATGCCCATGCTCGAAAGCTGAATTGTATGCTTATTTGTACTGCGCCGCTTTCGACTCCCGTGTTCACTCTGCCGCAACACCTGCCCTCCTCCGCTCGAGGACTTGTTGCCTCAGCGTCTCGACAGCAATCTCGGTCTCCAGCACGCGGCCGACGCCCGTCTTCCAGTTGTCTTCGAGACCTTTGAGCTCGCCCGCAATGTCCTGCTGGGCCCGCCGCCGCGCATTGTTGACGAGCTCAATGTCGCGCTTGGCGTCGGCGAGCTCGCGCTCCAGGGCCGCGAGCTCGGCCTCGGTCTGCCAGTTGCCGACCAGCCAGGCGTTCTTGCCAAAACTGTCGAGCAGGGAGAGGTGCGTGTGCCGCGAGGTCAGGTACGTGTTGGCCGTGTACGCCTGCGCCAGGGCCGCCTGCCGCTCGTCGGCCGACGCCGCCGCCGACGGCTCCTCCTGCTCCTCGTACCGCTTCAGGTCGACGGCCTCGAGGGGCCTCTTGGCCGCCACGCGCTCCAGCTCTTGCGCTATGCAGGGCGAGAAGTTGGGCTCCCGCAGCGGCGGCAGGGAAGAGGCGGACGATGTGTTGGGTTCGGAGTTTTGGAGCTCGGCGGCAATCAGTGCTTCGGCGGCTGCGCGCTGATCTGGGGTTGGCTCTGTATCTATGTCTTTACTTGCATGTCAGCTATTGCGTATACGAAGGGTGTACATGACAACGGCGTTGCCGACTCTGGGAGGCTTACACGGGAGGGACTCGTGTACTGCTGATCTGGTCGACATCTTGTCTTGTCTGATATAAGTTTCGAGCAGAGCTCAATTGGCTTCGTTAGAAGTCTCGTATATGTTCTTTGTTGTTCGATATTGAAAATTCCGAGCTCCTCTGTGTGTGAAATGGATCGGAAAGCACAGAAAGCAGATTGTCGCAAAGGCTATGCTCGTGGGTATGGTGTTGCATGCAACTCGGCAGCAATGGCTCGGTAGGCGCGACGAATTTCCAGGCTTATCAGTTATCAAACAGCAGCTCAGCTGGCGCGCAGTTGCCGCCTGACACTGCTGGAGCACAGACGCTCACAACCACTAATGGTAGATCACCGCAAGGGTGTTTGTGGCCTATGACGAAACGCTGGAGGCGCTGAATCCTCCCGGCTGCATGTGCATCAAGGCTGCAGGCTGACTACCACCGACCACCACCATAACATTGCACACTGGGGTGGTTGCCACTGCCCGAGCTTTTGATAGCTCTTTTCCTAGATAGTTCATTCAATACAAACAAACAAACAAACACTACTTTTCTTCTCTTCTGGTGTGAGAGTGTAGGAGCAAACTTCCTCTTCTTCTTGCATATACTTTTTGTATCAAACTCTCGGCTTATACTACCCGGCGCTCATTGAGTTGGGTCTCGGTATACTCATAGACATTTGGCAGACTATTGTTCGGACTCGCCTAAACCTCCGCGCCGGGGCTGCATCGTCTTGCATGAACAACTAGATACCCAGGCTGATTATCACAGCTTTCAACTTGTACCTTTTTCTGTAATTTTTTTTTCCCTTTTTTCACACTCCTTGTTACTTTTACGAATCCATGTGCAGCAATGCGTCAGAATATGCACTCTGAGAAGGCTGGCCCCTCTCACAAAGTCAAGGACTATGTCCGCGGTGTTTGGTACCAGCAGCAATGGCGTCCGGAAGAACCGGTACGTGAGCCAACGAGGAGGGTGTTGTTTTGGGTGATCATGATCATTCTTATACCACTTTTGATACTGGCTGCTCTGCTCCCGACTGGTCTGGGCCACAGTTTCAAGGTTTGGAGTGGAATATTCGGCCATACCTCTACTGTCGATGCTGGAGCTACGCAGCACCCATCCTGGGAGCATCCGGATGAGGCGGGTCGATATCTCCTAGGTGTAGGCAAGGCAGATATCACTGGGCCATGTGTAGAGATCAACATGATGGGATATGCGGATCCGAATCAACTGGGCACCGGTCTTCGACAGCGCCTTTACTCTCGAGCTTTCATAGTTGGCGACCCGGAACGGCCGGCTGATCGCTTCATCTACCTTGTCCTGGATACGCAATCTGGTGATACAGCTGTCCGTTACGGTATCTTGTCGGGACTACAGGAGCTCGGAAGCGACTATGCCGACTATGGTCATCACAACTTGGCTGTGACTGGAACACATTCCCACTCTGGGCCGGGTGCGTGGCTCAACTATCTCCTTCCTCAGATCACGAGCAAAGGATTTGACAAGCAGAGCTATCGTGCGATTGTTGATGGTGCTCTTTTGTCGATCAGCCGAGCTCACGAGAGCCTCGATCGAGGCCATTTGAGTGTAGGCACTACCAAGGTCTTTGGTGCCAACATCAATCGCAGCTTGTTTGCATATCTCAACAACCCAGCAGAGGAACGGCAACGCTACAATATCAGCAGTGAAGACGATGGATCCGTGGAGAAGGACTTGACTCTCCTCAAATTTACCCGCGCATCCGACGGAAAAGATATCGGTGTGCTCACGTGGTTTCCCACCCATGGCACCTCCATGCTTGGGAATAACACATTGATCACTGGAGACAACAAGGGCGTGGCTGCATCCCTCTTCGAACAGAGCGTGAAAGGAACTCGTAATGCTGCCGAGAACTTTGTGGCTGGGTTTTCACAGGCCAATGTGGGCGACACTAGTCCGAATGTCCTGGGCGCGTGGTGCGAGGACGGGACTGGCCAAATGTGCAGCTTTGAGAACAGCACCTGCAGCGACGGAAGGACGCAGAAGTGCCATGCCCGAGGACCCTTCTTTCGTGAAAATGACGAAGGAACTTCCTCTTGCTATGAGATTGGCAAACGTCAATTCGAGTCAGCACGAAAGCTGTACGGTGAATCTGCGAAGTTGTCACCTATTCATGGATCGTGGGTGAAGACATTTCATCGATTTCACAATATGTCCAATTTCCATTTTCAACTGCCAAATGGTACTGAAGTTGAGACATGCCCGGCAGCGTTGGGCTATTCATTCGCTGCTGGAACATCAGACGGACCTGGAGCATTTGACTTTACGCAGCATGACGGAGGTCCAAACACTACATCACCTGTCTGGAAGGTTGTATCTGGTATGCTCAAAGCGCCGACGGAGGAGCAAAAGATTTGCCACGGATCCAAGCCAATCCTGCTCGACGTTGGCGAGATGACTTCACCTTACTTATGGACTCCGAATGTCGTCGATGTACAAGTCTTTCGTGTTGGACAGCTATTTATTGTCGTCAGTCCTGGTGAGGCAACAACCATGGCGGGTCGACGTTGGAAAGAAGCAGTGGGTTCCAAGGCTGCAGCGATGTCGGGCTCGACCACACCACCAGTGGTTGTTCTTGGAGGACCTGCCAACAGCTACACTCACTATATTGCGACAGAAGAAGAATATGAGTGGGTACCGAAATTCATGATCAGGTCTTATCAGTGGCTAACGAAGATCAATCTAGGATCCAGCGATATGAAGGTGCCAGCACGTTGTATGGGCCGCATACACTGGCAGCATACATCAACGTGACTCTGTCTCTCGTTCCATACCTCAGCGCGTCCTCCAATAGGATGCCCTCCCCTGGGCCTAGTCCTCCCGATAACAGTAATCGAAGTCTCAACTTCATCCCTGGCGTGGTGTACGACAGGCCGGGATTGTTCAAAAAGTTTGGAGACGTGATCACTGATGTGGCAGATACTATCGTTCATCGGGGATCTTCTGTGTCAGCTGTTTTCGTTGGCGCCAATCCGCGCAATAATCTCAGACTGGAGAAGACCTACGCAGCTGTTGAGAAACTCGTTGAGACAGAGGGACTGACGAAGCAACAGTGGGAGCCTGTTCGTGACGATAGTGATTGGCATCTCATATTTCGATGGCATCGGACCAGCGAGTTGCTTGCAACAAGTGAGGTAACGGTCACTTGGGAGACGGAGGAGTGGGCAGAACCTGGTACATACAGACTTCGATATTTTGGTGATGCCAAGAGTCTGTCAGGTTCCCTCACTGAGTTTGAAGGCGTCAGTACGGAATTCCAGCTGTCATGATTTAAAAGGTCAAACTGTATCAGACGATTGCGAAAGGCAAGAAAGCCATGATAAATATAGGCCCCTACGGATGGAAGCAGGTGTATTGATCTTCCTCTTCATCGCCATAAATACCAGACATAATAAACCACACTCAGTAATCTCAACTTTCAAGTATAATTCCGAACACAAATTTTACGAGAGGCAAATGGGTTAGCCAACACAGAGGCAGGCACGAAAGACAAAAGTCGCGGATGTACCCTATTTTGTCACAACCAATATACCTCGAGACTGCCTGATTGATGCATTCGGGTCTACCCAAAACAGGTGATTCTCTACTGCAACTTCGTTGAGCCAAGTAAGGTACCCAACGGAGTCACATAGCGTTCGCTCAGTCGGGTTGCCAAAAATATCGTGTGCTGCATCCGTAAGAGCAAAAGAATACGCGACCGAAATGGGATTCGAACCCACAATCTTCAGAGATATGATTACGGTTTTGTGAGCAGAAGCTCGCCGAAATCTGACGCGATACCATTTCGCCATCCGGCCGTATTGGGAAATTTCCGACTTTTCTCAATATCAGTAGTGTGACTTAATCAAGCAGCTCTGTAGTTGGGTTGGTACGAAATAATGGGTGGATCAAAGATGCTGCAGCACATCCCTCTCAAGTCCGGATGACTAGGTACTGATCGGCACATCATAATGCGCGAGATGGATATAGTCCACTTGCAACAATATTCGTGGTTGCTTCTTTCGACATGGAAGACTTATAGCCATAATATCTATGATCTTTGAAAACACGGCCTGTATGACCCGAATCATTGATGCAGCTCGCGCTTTCGGCGCTGGCCCGGTTTTGCGGGGGTGACGGGTCCCTTATCAAAGGCGTTCGCCGGGCTCCTAGACCGGCGGAGTAGCCACCCGATAGGCCAAGCCAAGACAAAGTATATGAAGGGACGACACCATCTGTTGGTAGCATTTGACTGACACTCTCCATAAAGTATGAAATTGATCCTCACGTTTTTGAGCCCGGTATAACAACAAAAATCAGACGATCCCATCTAAGATATTTATCGTCTTACTTTAGAGATGGCAGCATCATCATCAACAACGCCCGGCAGCGCGGCAGCCCTCCTGCCGCACCTCTTCCCGGAGCGCAAGCCCATCACCCCGGCGCAGATCGCGGCGGGCGTGGAGGCGGCGCTGGTGGTGCAGAGGCGGGCTGTGACGTTTGGCAAGCGGCCCTTTGCCGCCGTCCTGCTGGGCCCCGACAACGAGACGGTCCTCCTGACGCACCAGAGCCTCGACCAGGTCAACCACGCCGAGAGCTCCCTCGCCCGCCTCGCCTACACCCACTACACCAAGGACTTCCTCTGGCGGTGCACCCTGGTCAGCACCTGGGAGCCTTGCGGCATGTGTACGGCTACCATTTACGTATGTTTTCATTCTTATTGCTCCGAGGAAAGGATATGATCAACTAATGCTTGTCATTTCAGTGGGCTCACATTGGCCGCATCATCTTTGCCGGTACTAATGATCAGCTATATGAGCTGACTGGCCCAGGTAACAAGGAGAATTTCACAAGTAAGCCAACAATTCCCCCTACCCGTATTGAATATCTCTGGTTGCTCACCCTCACTATCCTAGTGGACTGGCACACCAAGGATTTCCTCAAGGGTTGCCCACAGAAGGATGTAGAGGTGATTGGACCCTTGGAAGCAGAGGGCAAAATAGTCATGGAGGAGAGCGACAAGTACTGGAGTACGACGAGAATTGCTACGCTATGAAGAAATCTCCTTGGACAAAACAAATAAAGGAAAAAAATGAATAAAAAAACGAGACCGTCGTGGCAAGAAGCAAGCGCGTTTGATTTCCCAAATGGCAAAAAATGTGTGGTTGCATGCTGAATCCCAAAAGAGTGGATGCATTTTAAGAATTTCTTTAGAGTCGCATCGCATAACACCTATGCACCGCCAAGCAGAGCATAACCACGCCCGTCAAGCGGAAGCGTGGGTTATGCGAAAAAGCTGCACGCGCACACATATATGTCGAATTCGGGCATTGGAACCTGCGTCTACGAGGCTGTAGCCAGGTAACGACTCGCTTCAGCCGCTGGAGCCTCAGCGGCCTGCGCTTGGTCGCCTGCTTGCAGAAGACTGTTTTGATGCTCACACGATCAAAATATCAATGCGCTCCATAATCTGAAGTAAGAGAATAACGATTTGTGTATGGACCGGACTCTACATGCTGGGAGGACCCGAATTGTGCAATATGTACATGATGGATAGTCTTACATACCTTCGGCATATGTCCAAGTAAAGAAAAGCGCTGGTACGAATAGTACTATTTGATTAGACGAAGATTCAAGAGGTCGGCGGGATGTCCAAGCAAAATCGGTCATTCTAGCTGAATATGCAAAACACCCCGAATTCGACCCGTATTCAGCTGCTGCAAGATAAGAGAGGGGAACAACAAAAGGGTTGGTTCTAATGAATCACATAGTGCATTGGTCGGCGAGCTGATGAACAACAATGCGCATGCTGCGACGCAAGGCAAGGCGAGGCTGGTGCTTTGGCGAGTTCGCAGCCAAGTGCAAGTATAGGCAGGTATATGCAATGCATACAAAACATACCTAGGGTAACAAGAAGAAGTGATATCTAATCCTCGAGGCTGGCCATTTGCTGTTCTCGGCACCTCCGCCAAGTATGTTTGTCTTTCACCGGCAAGTTCTGGCCATTTTTGTTCAAAAGCTTTAACGGGATGCGCGGAAGTGAGAAACAAAAACTTCAAGGTCATCCGAAAAGGACTTCTGGACTTGGCATATATAAAAATATGATTCAATCGCGTTTGTGGCATTGTTGGCGCGTCATGAAGGAAACTGACGAGCCAAGTTGAGTCCGGATCATAGATCTTCAATTTCCCCTGACTCGTCGACCCCCAATCATGCCACGACCACAGGGCTCGAAAGATGGGCAAGATGGGCAGATGGATGCATACTCAGTATGTGGATCTAAAATAAAGAGAGTTCCGGGAAGCTCAGAAAACTGGGGCTTGAGGAAAGGTGCTTTGGGTGGCTGAAATAAGTGTAAATGTACTTTGTCGATATGGCGGCACAGTATGGGCCCAGGTAGGGCTGGAAAAAGCAGTCAGTGGAAGACAATGGAGGAGAGAGAGAGAGAACTGAGAGAGAACAGTGAAACTGGTCCAGGTTCGTGTTCCACCTCCAGCCCTGAATTATTCTTGGAATATTCTGAACCATCAACAGATGCAAGGACAAAGCCAAATGAGCCAGAAGCTGCAAGACGAAACTGGCCAAAGCGCTCTTCTTATATTCCGTGTGTCTCCCTACAGGTACGAGTGTAGAGTGTGCCGCCAAGCTGCCAAGGGGGCCAAGGGGCCAATACCAAAAAGTTACCTTGCGCATCCACAACTCCTGCAGCCAAATTATTATTATCTGCTACTCTAAGCTTCGGAGTGAATGTTGAATCCACACTGAGTGTACAGCGAAGTTTCACAAGAGGACAAGACTATTAAGCGAAAATATGAAGCATTCAAGGAACTTTCGAGAAAAATAAGGAAAAACTACAAGCTTGACAAAATGCGGAGAAATTGCGAGAAGAAAGCAAAAACGAACAGACGACAGTTTTTTCCATTTAGATGTCGTCGGTCTGCGAGTACTTACTTGGTGACGGCAGGGACATTCGGGAAATCGGCCCTCGTACTGCTAGTAGTGGTCGAACCCCCATACTCGAAGCAGAGGGAAAAAAGTCAATTAGACTTTCGGACGCGGGTCGTTACCAGAGAACCGCAACCTTGCTCAACACATTGCACCCACTGCTGTCGCTCTAACGGCCGTGTCGTGCTCTGTTGCCATTCTTGCCGATCTGCGCTGCGTACAGCGCCGGCGTTTTGGTGCTTCCAGACTGATCTGGTCGACGCCTTGAGTGCCGTACTAAGGAGATCTGTCCTGCAATAAATCAACCTGGAAGGGGCAGGCAACGCCGGATGCTCAACTTTCCGGTACACCCGTCAACACGCCCGCCACAGAGCCATCACAGAAAATCCTGAAGCCGGCATCTGATGCAAATGTCATGCTCTTTGACGGCGTAGCTTGTCACCTACTTGTCCGGAATGAATCCGGCATTGGGGCCCGCCGCAGAGGCTTGCTTCCCTCAGGGGCGACTTCTATGTGACAGCAAACCACGGATGGCTGTACCCGCCCCGGATTGCTAACATGTCTAGATAATGCTGAGCAATACATGGTTTGTCAAGATTAACGGGCAGAGGAGGACCCTGTCACGTAATCGGAAAACCGAAGCCACTACATAACAGCTGGTGCCTATCGCGGCGATCTCGCATCCCTTGGGAGGCTCAGCTGAGACACTTTTTGATAAGGCAAACATGGTCATGGCTGGTAAATGAGTGACAGGGCAATACACAAATACTGCACATTGGTCTCTCATGATTCCCTGACAGCGTTGACCGAGCCACACCGCATCAACGCATGTGTTCATGTTCGCTGTTGAAACTCGATCAGGAATCAAATGCATGGCTGGATACGGATTGCAGTTGAGAACGTTGCCCCAGAGCCTCATGGATGATCAAAACAACAACAACATTGGCAGCAGCAGCAGCAGCAGTATCAGCAGCAGTAGAAGTAGAAGCAGAAGCAGAAGCAGAAGCAGCACCTGCTTGAGGAAAGAAGAAGAATATTGGAGGCGACAACGCCACGGCTTCCGACCTCCCGACCAGAACTGCTGTTTGAGTGGTACCACACGTGGCTAATATGTCGAACCATGTCGCCTTCACTTGCCCCTTTGCTCTACTCAGGTTCAGTGCATATGTCACCAAACAATTCTAATCAGTCTTGGTTTGCTGCTGCATCTTCTCGCGGCTCCCGACCAATCTTTTTCGGCAGGTGAGTTTGGTCCGTGCAGCCCCTACGGATAAGGTGTGATCATACATGACAAAGTTCTCTAGGTATGTATATAACTCATGATACTGTCGATATGTTTTCTCGATGCTCCCGATGAAGCGATTCTATATCCTATCATTCGTTTATTCATTGTATTAATCAATCACTAGACGGGGGAAGAGGGCAAGATGCGGTTCGCTACTGTTTTGATTAATTCATTTGCTTTCCTCGCAGCCACCGTGTACGCGGCTCCGCAACAAGACGTTGACATTCGATCACAAAGCAGCCATCAGCAATGCCAGTTTGACTCGAAAAACTCACCTCAATGCTGGGGTGAATGGTCTCTCTCAACAGACTGGTACAAGTCGGCGCCAAATACTGGTGTCATTCGAGAATACTGGTTCAACGTTTCACAACACTACGCTGCACCTGATGGCGTGCAGCGTTTGGTTATGACCATCAATGGGTCGGTTCCTGGGCCTACAATTTACGCTGATTGGGGTGACACAATTGGCAAGTCTCATCATTCTCAATCTGGCCGCTATATCCTATGTCGACTTTGGACCTAACCAGCATATAGTCCTTCACGTCACGAACAATCTCATAACCAATGGAACCAGTATACACTTTCACG